TTTAGTTCTTTAATATTTTCTAAAAGTAGACTGTGGCCCTTTTTTTCTAATGTTCTGGCCTTGATTTCATCCTGTCCATCCTCCTCCTGTGACCTTGCAGTGTGGTGACAATGGCCTGTTCTTCTCATGTTTTGATTTTTGTTTTGAGCTATAATTTACATACATTAAAACAAAATACATTAAAAGTCTGTAAAAATTGGGGGTTAAGCAGATAGCTCAGTGGGTAAAGTGCTCATTCTGCAAGCAGGAGGACCTGGGCTCAGTGTCCAGCACCTATGTTAAAAGCTCGCTGTAGTAGCATACACTTGTCATGTCAGCACTGGGGAAGTAGAGACAGGAGGATCCAAAATGGCTCACTAGCCAGCCAGGCTAGTCAAGGTTAGCTCAAGGTTCACTGAGCTATCACGTGAAGAGCAACACAAAGGACCTGACATTGGCCTCTGGCCTCCATATGCAGGCATAGAGAACTACACCACCACAACATGCATATATATGGAGGATCATGTGTATACATGCACACACATGCGTATACATGCATACACATACATACACATACACAGAGACGTACATACACCATATACACAGTCATAGAAATTCTGTAAAACTTAACTGGACAGTTTAGCAAGTTTTTTGATAAATACATAGTTATCCAACCAGCACGTGATTCATGATGAAAAGACAACATTTCTGTCACCCACAGGCAGATGGCTCCTTTCTGGCCAACTGGCTGGTTTTCTCTGAAGGAAGCATCCTTGTTCTCTTTTGTTACAAGGTCAGGGTTCCTCTCGTTGATGATTGATCTTTCTTAATGTTGTCTTTCTTAACTTTCTCCCACTCCAATTCCATGGGGCGGTCATTAGTTCTAATTTCTCCTGTCACCCTCTGAAGCTGGCTCTTGAAGCCATGTGTTCCACAGGGGACTGAGCACCCTGGGGCACCTCTTGTCTGCACTGTTGTCTCTTCCCTTCTTGTGTTCTGAGCCCTGAACATGTGTAATCACCTGCCTATTTTTTATTGCTTCATGGTGCCTGGCAAGTTAAAGCATGTTATTATATATGATTTCCCTTTTCTCATTTTTCCTCAATAGGAGTTGTGGTCAACTTACTTGTAAAATAGCTTTGGCTTCTAAATTTACTATTCTATTTATTTTTTATTTTTTAAAATTATTTTTAGGTTTGTTTGTTTTAATTTTTATGTATTTGAGTATTTTGCCTTCAGGTGTGTTATGTACCACATGTGTGCCTGTGGAGTCAGATAAAGGTATCAGATCCCTTGGAACTGGAGTTACAGATGGTTGTTAGCCACCATGTGGGTGCTGGGGACTGAACCTAGGTCCTCCACAAGAGCAGCCAGTGCTATTAACCACTGAACCATCGCTCCAGTCCCTGTTCTATTTATTTTTGAATCCACAAAATGTGACTTCTCTAATCCTTATCTTGTTCTAAGTCATCTAGCATTGATTAATCCTGCCTTCTCTTACTCTGTCTTAGTATTGCCAGATGGAAACCTAACAACTTTTAACTTAAATTTGTGTTTTACAATAGTAGTTTTATTATTCTTCTGGGCCTTCTCTGCTTCTTGCTTCAGCTGCTAGGTCAAGTTTGTTGAGCTATAATCCAGTGCTCTGTGGAATGGTTTGATTCCTAGATATAGGAGAAAAATGCAGCTCAGAAAATGGCTATCCTGATTCTGGTCATGAAGACCGGACATGGGGCTTCCTCACACCTCACATTTTTCATTTACAAAACCAGCATCACTCAGGACATTGAAATGATAAAAAATATAGTACATGTAAAAGATGATTAGAAAAGTGTGTGCTTGCTTACTAAAGATTATTTAAAAATTATTATTTTTACTTTATGTGTTTGAGTATGTCACTCACATGTGTGTAAGAGCACCCATGTTGCACATTGCCCGAAGAGGTCAGAAGAGGGCATTGGATTCCCTGTAACTGGATTTATGGACAGTTGTTAGCTGCCAAGTGGTGCTGGCCTTCAAACCCGGGTCCTCTGCAAGAGCACCAGCGCTCTTAACCACTGAGCCATCTCTCCAGCCCCAAGATTATTTCTTAAACTTCTAAAAAGCTTATGGAAGTGTTTGGGAAATGGTTGACTTTCCTTTTTTCCCTTTTTTCTTTTTTCTTTTTTTTCCAGCAAATGAGCCGTGGATGAATCCTAAATAAAAAGATAACAGTAAGCATACGATCTCTTGAAAAATAATGGAAAATTTTATTCCCTTCCAGAGGTGTCTACAGAGTTTCTTAATCTTTGTTTCTTACAGCTGCCTTTCCTATGTAAATTCTAGGATTTAGAAAATAACAGTAGAGTAAATCTTTGGGTTTTTTTTTGGTTTTTTTTTTTTTGGTGTTTTTGAGACAGTATCTCCCTGTAGCCCCAGCTGTCCTGGAACTCACTGTGTAGACCAGGCTGGCCTTGAACTCACAGAGATCCACCTGCCGCTGCCTCCCAAGTGCTGGGATTAAAGGCGTGCGCCACCATGTCCAGCTAATCTTTGGGTTTTTTTCGCCCTCATGTCCCCCTTGATTTTTATTTTCTCTTCTTTCTGTCCTGAATTAGAGTTCCAGATTTGTGCTGTCTTTTCTGTTGGTTTCTAACTTTGAGTGACCTGAATATCCATTTCTCACAATGAGGGTAGGAGAGGACAGGGAACAAAGGGACAGCAGGAGACCCAAGTGCACTCAGTCCTCACACACTTCTTTCCAGCATGCTGCTCTCTGAGACTTTTCAGGTCTTTGAAAAGGAAAGCCAGGAAGCCCTCGTTCCACCTGGAGCCTCCACTTCTTCCTGCGCGTTGCTGTTGGGACTTTGCTATTTTTTCTCCAAGTAAAATTCATTGGTTTGGAAATCTCACAATATATAAATGTGGCTGTTACTGTCATAGAAATGAAGAAGTTAGGATGTGCACACATTACTTGCAGCTGGAAAATGAAACTGCTGAGACTACCTGAGCTTCAACAGACTCCTGATACAAGGCTTTTTCCACTTGGCTAGTCGGTCCCTCTAATTGAATGCTTCTCAAATCTCATATATATGCATCACTTGAGGTCTTTTTAAGAAATAATTTTTCTTTGGCTGGAGAGATGGCTCACTGGCTAAGAGCACTGGCTGTTCTTCAGAACACCTGGGTTCGACTCCCAGTACCCACATCGCAGCTAACAGCTATCTGTAACTCCAGTACCAGTGGATCTGATGCATTCTTCTATTCTCCGTGGGTATTGCATGACACAGGTGCATTTACATTACATATATGCAAGCAAGATACTTACATAAAATAAAAATAATAAATAAAATATATTTAAAATAAAATAAAATACTATGAATGATTCAGACTCTCTGAGAGAAAGTCCAGTAACTTGTGTCTCATAAAAGTTCCCAAGAATACTCTCCATTGTTAACCTAGCTGGATTTAAAATCACAGCCACGTAGGATGCAAAGCACTGATATTGGAGAGCATTTCCAGTGAGGTTTAATTAATGGAGGAAAGACTCACCCTGAATGCAGGTAGCATCATTCCTTGGGGTGGGGCCTCAGACTGGATACAAAGGGAGAGTGAGCTGAGGACTGGCATTCAGGTCTCTCTGCTTCATGACTATGGATGCAATGTGACCAGTTGTCACCATGCCTTCCCCACTATGATGGTGGATGCCCTCAAACTGTGACCAGAATATACACTCTTGTCATAGTGTCGAGATAAGGAAAGAATGCAAAGGGCTCGAGAAAACTTGCCATTAATTATATATCTGATTTCCAAGCTCACTTTTTAAAATTTATTATTTTTATTTTATGTGTATGCGTGTATTGCCTGCATGTAGGTAAGTGCACTGGTGTTGTGCAATGCCTGAGGTCAGAAGAAGCTGTCAGATCCCCTGGGAATGGAGTTACAGACAGTTGTTAGCTGCCACGTGGGTGCTGAGATTCGAAACTGGGTGTTCTGCAAGAACAACCAGTGTTCTTAACCGCTGAGCCATCTCTCCAGCCCCGCAAGGTCACTTTTTAAAATTTCAATTTCAATGGTCCTGGACTGAAGGAAGTGATTTTCAAATTAAATTTTTTTCCCTCTAGTGTATTATTTTCTTGAGAAGAACAGGAAGGAAATAGAGTTGCTTTCTGGAAAGGGTGTGAAGGTCAAGGTAACCAGGTGCCCAAGGCTCTACCTCAGAACTTGTGGCTCATTCACACTATTCTTTAATAACCCTTACCCTACCCAAAAATGGCACACAGAAACACAGAACTTAGACTGTGTTAGAAAGACTTCTCCTGTAACCCTAGGGTGAACCTCACAGGATGGAGATGGCAGAACATCAGGTCAACTGTTTAATCTAGTCAATGCCTGTTAAAAAATTACCAGTTTCTATACATTATACAAAAAATTATGGAAGCACTGGCCTAAGAGACTGTATTTAAGTTGGTTTTTAAAATAATAGTTCAGTTATTGGGTTCCTGATCAGGGAAAAAAGCTTTGCCAAGTGTGGCCAGGCATACCTCTAATCCCAGCACTCGGGAAGCAGAGGCAGGCAGATCTCTGTGAGTTCAGAGCCAGCCAGGGCTATATAGTTAGACCCTGCCAAACAACAACAACAACAACAACAACATCACCTCTCCCCCCAAATGCTAGAGAGTGGTCATAGGGCTCGAGAGATTGGTTAGCAGTTAAAAGCACTTGCTGCTCTTGCAGAGGATCCTGACTTGGTTCCCAACACCCCCATCAGGTGGCTCATCGCCCCCTGTAACTCCAGCTCCAGGCCATCAAATGCCCTCTTTTGGCTTCTGAGGGCACTTGTATGCATGTGTGCATACATTCATACAGGTACATATATACATATAAACGAAAGGAATAAAGTAAATCTTTAAAAAAATCTTAAAAAATAATATTCAAAGCTGTAGATTTTAACAGATACTTAGGCAATTAGTGGTTTGAGGAAAAGTTTGAAGCACTTTAGAAACTTTTTGCATGTTTATATACATTCACATTTGCCTTGCTTAGCTCTGCTTTCTTTTCAATGTTGTTTTGTTAATTTTTTTTCCAGAAAAAATGTGCGAATAAAAATTTGACAGCTGACAGGCAACCGAGGAGTCAGTTTCCACACAGCCTCTCAGGCTTGCTTCGTTGCACATTGCTTCGTGGCACTTTGCTTCGTGGCACATTGCTTCGTGGCACATTGCTTCGTGGCACTTTGCTTCGTGGCACTTTGCTTTGTGGCACATTGCTTCGTGGCACTTTGCTTCGTGGCACTTTGCTTCGTGGCACATTGCTTCGTGGCACATTGCTTCGTGGCACTTTGCTTCGTGGCACATTGCTTCGTGGCACATTGCTTCGTGGCACTTTGCTTCGTGGCACTTTGCTTCGTGGCACATTGCTTCGTGGCACTTTGCTTCGTGGCACTTTGCTTTGTGGCACATTGCTTCGTGGCACTTTGCTTCGTGGCACATTGCTTCGTGGCACTTTGCTTCGTGGCACTTTGCTTTGTGGCACATTGCTTCGTGGCACTTTGCTTCGTGGCACATTGCTTCGTGGCACTTTGCTTCGTGGCACTTTGCTTTGTGGCACATTGCTTCGTGGCACTTTGCTTCGTGGCACATTGCTTCGTGGCACTTTGCTTCGTGGCACTTTGCTTTGTGGCACATTGCTTCGTGGCACTTTGCTTCGTGGCACATTGCTTCGTGGCACATTGCTTCGTGGCACCAGCCTTGCTTCTCTGATTTTCTTACACTAGAAGCTTTTCTGTTCTGAGTAGAATATATTTCTGGTCTCAGCTCACCACCGGCTTGCAGGAGGGTCCCAGAATATAGGCACACACGTGGGGTCATTAATTCTCATCTCATTTCATGCATGTAATGAATTGCTGTTGGGTGCAGTTTGGGAATCTGAGTGAATATCAGCTGTCATCTCTAGGGCAGCTTACTTTGAATTAGAGCCTACTATCAGACATGCTGTTTGTCTTCATTAATCTTCATTCCTGCTCAATCCGTCCTGGGCAGGAAGTGTGCCTTGAATAGCTTAACAGGGCTGTTTGCAGGTGAGTTGTGTGAGACAATCTCCAGACACGACTACCTGAAAGTACAAGTAATATTCAGTCTATTTGTTTTGTTATTTTGCTGTTGTCAGCTTCCCTCTGTCATCATTTTCTGGGTAATTTTCTACTGCCTCTGCCTGCCCCCCTCCTCTTCCTCTTCTTCCCCCTTCCCTTCCTCCTCCTCTTCTTTCTCTCCTTCCTCCTGTTCCTCCGTTCTGTAATTTCCTAGTCTCCTTCCTCTCCTCCCTTTTTCCTCCCCTTCTGCTTCCTCCTTCTTTCAATAGCACCGGAACATGGGAAATAAAAAGCCATTCAGACAGGCTCCTGAAATCAACAGCACTCTACAACTTCCTATTGAATTCACGGCTGTCTCCCTGATAGTGTTCTCACTAGATTAGAAAGTCTGAGAGGTCAAAGATTATGTCTTCACTTTTATATTTGAACTCAAAGCGCCTGTCTTACAGTAGACCCTGGGTAGATACGTATTTTAATGAATGAAGGCCTGCAGACTACATGACAAGTTCATAGGCTGGAAGTTTTATGTATGATGCCCAACTTAATCCTCTTGGCGTCTTTGTGAGGTCTCTTCTTTTGTAGATAAATGAGAGGCTCAGAGAGATGAGAAAAGACATACAGTCACACTGTGTGTTCATGGAAGAACTACCTGTTCAATCTGAAATACAGTTCATATGGAAAGGCAAGACCAGTGCACACTCTTTTTAGAGAGTTTTCATTTATCGATTTTAATTTTGTGTAAGTGTATTGCCTGAATGTATGTAAGTGCATTTGTGTCACTGTGCAACGCCAACGGAGGCCAGAAGAGGGTGTCATATCTCTTAGAACTGGAGTTGCAGAAGGTTGTTAGCTGCTATATGGGTGCTGAGAACTATATCTGGAGCAGCCAGTGCTCTTAACCACTGAGCCATCTCTCCAGTCCCCAGTGTACACTCTTTCAATCTTCAGAATTTGTTAGCCTTGATAAAATTTCAGATTTTTATTATTATTATTATTATTATTATTGTAGCCTCCAAAGAGGACTAATAAATTTTTTCTATCTCAAACTATTATTATGATCTCCTGGATTTTAACACATACATTTGAGTTTTCAATAATTTATACATTTTTTGGTATGATTTGGATAAATGTCTCTCCCAAAAGGCATAGCATGTATTTAGAGGGCTGATCCCCAGAGCAGCCATGTAGGAGGTGAGGGAACCTAGGCTGGTCCAGGAACTTAAGTTTCCCATTCCTGTCTGTCCACCAGAGCCAGTTAATGAGCAGTGTGGGGAATTGAGATAGTAAGTGCTCTGCCATGAGTCCCTGCAGGCCTTGGCTTCACTGCCTTCTCCATGTCTGCAAAACACACCCACACCTGCAGAATTTAATATCTGTAGTTTAGCATATTAATAGATCAAATGAAAATATGATTAACAAAGCAACAAATTTTTCGTGGTGACAGACAGATAAAAGATCTCACATGGGATAAAACTGAAAAAATTCAGGAAAACTCTAAAACAAAAACTAGAGTGGAGATTATTGCATCAGACATGCATACACACATGAACCACAGGAGGAAAATGGATATTTCACCATCTGTGAACAGACAGTGGGGTAATGGCTCATTTGAATCTAGTAGTGAAGAAGGTCAGATTCCACATCTACACAGATGGATTAAAACATAAGTGAATCTAGGAAAACTGGGGAGTATTTAGGAAAAAATAAAATTAGATTCAGTTTGTATAGAACATGGGAATATTTTTTTTCCTTCACTGAGTGGTCATTAACACTCAAGTTTCTGGTTGGGGTGTGGGGGCTCACATGCCTGTAATCAGCACTGTGGAAGCTGGGGCAGGAGGATTGTGGATTTAAGGGTAGCCTGAGATACATAGCCCTGACCTCAAATATCTTTACCATCCAAAATCCATATTAGACTTCTAATGACATTAAGTTCAAATAATGAATTTCTTGATTGTTGTCTTTAGGAGAATAGCTCATGAGCATCTCAGCTTACATGCTGCTGAAATCAAAAGTGGGTTTTTACTCCCACACTGAGAATTAAAAAAACATTTAACATTTGTTTTTATTTCTGTGTGTGCCTATTTGTCCATTGTGCACTACATGGGTGCAATGCCTATGGAGGTCAGAAGAGGACATCAGATCCCCTGGAGCTGGAATTACAGGTATTTGTGAGCTGCCTGATGTGGGATCTGGAGTGGGTTCTCTACAAGAGCAGCAGGTGTTCTTTAACTGCCAGCGATCTCTCCAACCCCCACACTGGATCTTCTCCAGTATCCAGCTCAGTGTCATGATCATCCACCCAGCTACTCGGGCTGGCCACTGAGGACCAACCATCCCTTCATTCCATTGATGCATCTAATCTAGAAGCTAAGCATGTTAAGCTTATACCTAAATAGATCTACAGTATGATTCTCTCCATGACTGGAGAAAAAGACAACATCTTTCCATAGATTATTTCAATAATCACTTTGCTATTCACCTCTCTTTTTCTAAGAGTGCCTATAATCTGTGTATCAATGCCCCCCCAAACACAAAGATGCTTAGCAAAATAAATCTAGTGTTTGCTCCCTTCTGGTGTGTCTCATCATGGTTCAAATCTCATTTCTCCAGCACTTGGGAGACAGAGACAGGCAGATTAGTGTGAGGTAGAGGCCAGCCTGGGATGGTCTACATAGTGATCTCTATGACAGAGGGGCTACAAAGTGAGACTCTGTCTCAAAGAAGCAAAATAATTTCTTTCTTCAATCATAAAAATGTAGACTGGCTAAGATCAAGAGACAAATAACTCCAAATGCTGGAAAGGATGTGGAGAAAAAGGAATGCTCATTCACTGCTGGTGGGAATGCAAACTCGTGCAATCACTATGGAAAGCAGTGTGGAGAACCCTCAAAAAACTAAAAATGAACCTACCATATGATCCAGTGATACCACTCCTTGGCATATACCCAAAGGACTCATCATACGTTAGAGATACCTGTGCATCCATGTTTGTTGCTCCTTTCTTCACAATAGCTAAGAAATAATGGAAACAATCTAAATGTCCCTCAACTGACGAATGGTTAATGAAAATGAGGTCCATCTACTCAGTTGAGTTCTACTCAGCAGTAAGAAAAGATTAAAGTTATGACATTTTCAGGTAAATGGATGGAGCTAGAGAGTGTTACACTAAGTGAAGTTACACAAACACAGAAAAACAAGCAAAGATTGTTTTCCCTCATTTGTGGACTATAGTACCAATCCCTTATATGTGACTATATAAATTCTGATGTAACACCAGGAGCCAGGGAAAGGGAAAGGATACGTGGAGGCAAAGGAAAAGAAACAACCTGAAAGGGGGAGAGTAGGGAACAGGTGTTACCTGAGGGAGGGGGGAAAGTGGGAGTAATCGGCAGGGAGGAGAGGAGGGAGGGACATGCAAGGGACCATGGTGTGGGGGAGGGAGAGACGTCAGGAGAGGAAAGATGGCAGGAATTGGGAGGTATGGGGGGTGGGTGGGGATAATGGGGGCACTGTGACTAGGGAGAGAGGGAGGAGGGAAGCCAGATGGGAGAAAAAAAGAGTGGAGATGAGTGAGTCTTGGGGGACAGAAAACCTAGAGGGAAATGCGTTGCCATAGAAACCCTATGAGAAATGCACACAGAGTGTCTGAACATTAATGCGTATGTACACCTAGGAGCTGCTTGGCAAGAATCACAGTGCCAGATAGAAGAGACCTCTGTTAGAGTGACAAACATGACATACAGCACTCATCAAAGAAGTTTCTTTTTGTAATAGATGGAGGCTACTGCAGAGTTGCACATCTGGTCAGGCACAGAGAACACATACCTGGGAGATGCCCAGTGCTAGGTAACACATCTGCAGTTGAATCTATATAATTAAGTCTCATGGAACATAGGGGAATAAGTGGTAGAGAGATGGCTAATGCACCCCTCAACTCTCACCAGTGAGGCTTCCATGTACATCAGAGTGCGATGCACACAGAAGGCCACAACTGGTCAAGTTTTAGAGAATAAGAGACTGTAGAGTGTAGGATGGGACTCCTATAAGGAACCTCATTCACCCACGGCTCAGGGACCATTGTGGAAGAGGGCGCAGAAAGATTATAAAAGCCAGGGCTGGTTCATGAGCACCAGGAGGTGCAGACTTCCAGGCCACTGGAGGCTTGCAGCAGCAGCGGCATCGAGTGTGGGACCCATGTCAGCTCAATGAAACAAGGGCCCGAAGGGGAGGTGAGAAATAGGTGGCAGGCCAGCACTAGATTGAGAACTATTTGAGACTGATTGCTGCTGGATGAGGGAGAGTATGACTTACATATGACCACTGGATGGGCTGACTATACTCCAGTGGACACATTTACACTGAAGGACATTTGGGTACAAACACCTGAATGAATAGGACTCAGCATGTATGGCAGAGTGCATAGGGTTCAGTGGAGGGATAGGGAGAGGCATGGATGGGGGAGGAGGTCTGGATTTGAGGGGGAAATGTAAAAATTTAAAAAGCTCAATTAAAAAAATAAAATAAGATGATATATGTTGGATAGGCATGCCCTCTGAATGTGGCAACAGATGAGTATCTTCTTGTCTAGTTTCCCCCCTCCCACTTACTGTAAACTGGTTGAACCCTAAGGCTCTCTGT